ATATATATATATAAAATACTTTTGAAAGAATTACATTTTAGTACAACTGTGCTCTTTCCAGTAACTAGTCTAAATACCTGAATTTGCCTTGGTATCAGCCACTTGCTAAAAGCCAGTCAGATGCACTGCATGAAACTGTGCTAACAAGGAACATACTGATGGGGGAGAGAAGAGTGAGCAGACAGATGACTTCAATATATTGCTTCCCCTCACTATTCTATCAGCAAGGTTGGGACAGAAAAAGGACACAACTGCATCCCTTCTGCAGTGTACAACAGAGAAAGGGGTGATTTGCTGTGAAAATCTCAAGATGGGGAAATTTCAAATATAAATCCTCTGGCAAGTAAAATAGCTCCCTTATATATATATTATCTGTGTATTTCGTTGTTTGCCTGGAGTTCAGCTTTAAGTCACAGACAGCTGAAGTTAGGATACACATGTAACAAATATAAGTAGACCTGTTTTGGTAATACAGGAATACAGTTTTAATGATTTAATCTGCATTTTGTGGTGTCTTACAAGATTTTTTTCTTTTTTCTTTTTTTTTTTAACACAATTTAACCAGAAATATAGAACATCCAACCAATTGAGGAAAAAAGTTAAATACATCAATATAATTAACAAAAAATATAAACCTCATACAGTTTTGTTTCTTAATTGATTAACCAGGTTACATATCTCTCACAATAAAATACATGTTCAGCTGTTACATTACAGTTTAAAGGAACATACAGGAATCTGTTATAAAATATTTCTCTCAATTTATTCACTGCTTGATGGATCGGCCTATTCTTTTAAAGTCTTTATCCAAAGGAAAAGGAATCTCTGTCCACCTAAGCAGTGAAGCCTCTAACTTTACAACCTACTTAAATCAGCGACACACATTTTGAATACGAGACTAAAAAGGCACCAACAGTACAAAGCAAGTACAAAGCTCTTTTTTAGTAATCTGTTAAGAGTGCTTGAATATGGACAACACAAAAAAAAAGAAAATGAGGGAAGGAGAGAGTCACCAGTTCCAACTGTTGGTTGCTTTTTAAATTGACCGCAAGCATATGCCCTTTTGCACCAAAATGGTAATGGACTAGTAATAATGAATACAAGCAACCGTAAGAAAACACTGGTGTATGGTTGTTATGGGTATCTTGGGAACAAGAGCAGATCTGAAGGCAGTAGGTGAAGTGCATTTAGTAGTGAGAAACTTCCAAGTGGAAAGCAGCAGGCGGTTTTGGCTGTTCAGATGCTCCTGTAAGATGTATCACAGCAATTATGCAATACTTAAACTGGAATGGATTCAATGATACCGATTTAAAGCCGTGCTCATCAAGCACGACAATACCGGATTCTAGAAGCATCTCATTGTGTGGGTGCAAAAGGTTTCTAAACAGAAAAAAAGACTGGAATATCCTTTGTGGTTACTATCACAAGTAGAATGGCTACTGCATAACGGTTTACCTTTAGTTGGTTTATCCAGGGTTTCACCAGACTAAGTCAAAAACCCAACCCCCCTTTCTCCCTCCAAAAGGATGCTTTCACAATTAATGGGGAGACAGACCATTCTCTAAATTTCTAGAATTACATATGGCTTCTTCTTTCCCTGATGCAATTAATATGACTAAACTATCCATGCATTATACTCACAAAGGGGGGAAAAAGTGTGAATTTCGTCAGTGCATAGATAAACATTTGCTTTACTTTTAAATGCAAGGTGAAGAGTTAACATTTCTTAAAAGGGTTTTGGTGCCATGTCAGAGATTGTGAAATCAAGAAAAAAAAGGTTTGCTTAAGAAAAGAAAAGCAAAGTCCTTTGATCAAGACCTGGCAAAATAAACTGTCTCTTCATAGATAAGATCCATTAATATCAGTATGTCACGTTGATTCAGAAACAAGCACAGATACTGGGCATGAAAGAAATCACTGGTGGAAATCTGGTATGGCTATAATTGTTCCCTCAAACACTGAAATAATAAAAAGAGAAATAAGGCAAGTGATGCCGGCCTAACACCCTAGCAGATCAATCCCTTTTTATATGTAAAGTAGGTGTACAAGGCTCAGCTTTTCACTGCCTCTTAAATAAAGCAGTCTATTTAAAAAGTATACGTTCTACAGACGATATCGTGCACAACTGTTTAATAAGACATAAGCATTTGATCTAACAAGTGGTTAGTCTGATCAGTTGAACATAAAATTATCTGGTAATCCCATTCACCAACATTATTGTAAAATGTTTACATAACCCACATCACAGAAACTGACCCACTAAGCAAACTTCGAAAAGAATGAGGAAAAAAAAAATCTATTAAAAAAAAAAGGTTAAATGGAGACTTTTTTTTCAAATTTATTTTCAATTACAAGTGCAATTTTTGCTCATGTTCCTAGGCAGTTCAGACAAGTCTCTATAAATGTTGCTATAAGAGAAGACATGGGAGAGGGTGGGGAAGGGTATTTAAAACAGAGTTGTTTCATAATCCTTATGAAGGTTACAGGATAAGATTTCATTTAAACACAACTCAGAGGTAAGAGATCTTAATCCAATCAATCATAGGCATGTGGCACTTAGACAATCTTTGCACAGAAAAGCTTAACAGTCATGCGAGGGCACGGTCATCTGAAACAAGGCAAATCTTTCACCACAAAGAGCAGTGAGGAAAAAGTAGGAGGCACTGCACTGGGACAGAACATCTAAAACTCCACAGAATACAACTCCAAGAACAAATACTTGCAGAAAAGAAAAGAATGTTTTACACATTAAAAGAGTTTAGTGCTTGCTTGATTGCTGCTCCAGCATGACAGAGGGAAAAAAAAAGGAGTTAGCTTTATACACAGATGTATCTCCATCTTGGGAAGCTGGGTGGGGGATTGCTAGGAATAAGATTGGCATCCCCAATAAGTACAGTATTTGTTTGTTACAGTATGGTAACTATCATTCTGGTTATTTTATGTATGGGGAAAATTACACTAAGTGTCAAAACATTCAGTGAATATGGCTCCACTAGAAATAACATTGGCATGCTATTTTTAAGTCAATATGTGGGCCTCATGCCAACACCAACTGAAAATAAAAAGGTATGAGATTTTGGTTTCACTTGCTTGTTTTATTTCTGTCCTATGAAAGCTCTTCTTCCTCCAAACTCATCCATACATGAAACACGCAGACCTATAAAAGGCCAGTGCATGGCACAAATGCCCCAGATATATATGTATGCAAGTATATATATATATATATTTATATATATTATAAATGTTATATTGCAGCAGCTTTTTTGCTATTGAGTTTGATGTACAAGTAAGCAGATTGTTATGAATACGATTTTAATCTATCAGGTCCCTCAAGCACATAAATGGTTAAAAGTTCTCACACAGCTCAGCTACATGCCAAGGAAAACCTGGATATTATACAATGATCTCCAGCAGGTTTTTAATGCTTCTAACTGCAATGGGTTTAAAATGATATGTGAGTAAATGGAGCTCTCTGTTGATTTAAAGTGCCCAGAGAAATAACTCTCCCAAAAAGAAGAAAAACAAAAAAAATGCCAGTTACCACAGTCATCAGTAACATGGGTTCAACATAATATGTAAAGCCTGTAAAAGTCAGGACACTGTCCACTTCATGGGAAATAAACCACTGTATTTATAAAAAGAAAAAAAAAAAAAATGAATTTACAAGCAGTTATTTACGGTATCAGCAAGTGCTTGATGCACCACACTGCAAAAGGGCTTTACGAAAAAGGAGTGTCAAGAACACTTCTCCAGATTGAAAGATTCATCAGAAGCATAAAAAAGCCACAACTACCAGGAACCGCCCTCCTTAATGGCCCAAAGGAGTTAGACTGGACAAGCTGAGATGGGTCACAGGACATGGCCAAGGAGGAAGAACTGTCAAGAACACAGATGTCGGAGTATGAAGTCCTTCACAGCCTTTCCCTTAAAAAGAAAAAAAGACAAGGTTTTTAATCCGACAGCATTTACTTTGTATGCAGTAACAGAAGAAATGGTTATTCTACTTTCATTGAAGCACAGCTGATGGAATGACATTCTTACATTTTATGGAGTGCCTAGTCAAACCTTTCATGAAAACATTCATTTGAACCAGAATTATAAACAGAAACCTATATTTAGGGGCTAAATGTCTTTTACAGAGAATACATACAGAACAGGAAAACAAAAAGCAGCGTTATGTAATCTCATATCAAGCTCTTATCAGCAATACCTAAATACATTGACAATGTACTGGGGTGGGGTTCCACTTTCAGGGACAATAAAGGTAGAAATGGAGGTTCCTCTGCTTGAGTCCTTACCAACTGGTCTCCACATGTATAAATCAAAGTTGACACAAAATACAAAACAAAAAGACATCGGTTTTGTTGCTGGCTTATTTGGTTTTCTATGGATATAGAAAAAGTTATTTATACTGATACCTTTCTCCTCATACACTCATAACTGGAAGTGCAGAGAGGAGCAAGATATAGATTAACTGTAAGCATACACACATTAGAGACCGCATTTTTCTTGAAGACCAAAAAGCTCAATTTTAGTGTCATCTGACCAGAGTACCTCCTTCCATATGTTTGGGGAGTCTCCCACATGCCTTTTGGCAGACAGCAAATGCCCTCCTTGCCTGGTTCGGGAGTTTTGGTGGGCGGCCCTCCCTTAGCAGGTTTGCTGTGGTGCCATAGTCTTTCCATTTTTTATTAATGGATTTAATGGTGCCCCATGGGATGTTTAAAATTTGTTAACACAACCCTGATCTGTACTTCACAGCTTTGTCCCTGACCTGTTTGGAGAGCTCCTTGGTCTTCATGGTGCCCCTTGTTCAGTGGTGTTGCAGACTCTGGGTCCTCTCAGAAGTGTGTGTGTGTGTGTGTGTGTGTGTGTACATATACATACTGAGTGGTCAGATTATTATGACCACCCCATCAGTACTTCGTTGGGCCGCCTCGTGACTCCACGAGATGTTGAAATGTGATGCCACTCAAGAAGAATCGCCGCAAAGGCAAAAGGTGGCCCAACAAAGTACTGATGGGGTGGTCATAATAAGTGTGTGTGTGTGTGTGTGTGTGTGTACACGCACAATATATACGTGTATATTCCCTTATAGGATGATTTACAGTACTTGTGGCTACTGAGGTTAGGGACAGCATGCTTTAAAGTTTATGTAAATAAATCAAATTATAGCTGCAACTTACAGCATAACATTTTTTTTTTGTTTAGTTATGCTTTAAGTTTTTAACTTTAATTAGGTTATAAACCTTTACAGCTCAAGTATATTTTAGCCACCATGCCCAGGTCCTTATTTGTCACGATATGATTGTGCTTAAAAGGTAGAACAAACATGGCACAAAGTGCAACTGCCAAAATGAAATAAAGACTCTACCCACACATAGATCATACTGTCACTAAATTCCACATTCGTACATATTTTGTTCCAGCTGGTGCCAAAAAACAATTCTCAACAGTTGGTGAACAACAAGCAATAAACACTTCATTTAACTTCCCATCAGTCAGTCAAAGATGAGTAACTGAACGCCGATATTGCATTTCAAATCAACATTTTGAAAACTTAACCATCTAATGGCCATCAGTTCAAGACCTTCAAACCCGTTTAAAAATACAAGTTATGTTTTAAAATAGATCTAAATCTTAACTGAATGACTATGATTGCTAAACCTTTGTTGGGACTATGTTCAAATCTAGTTTACAATTGATAATGAAATGTGCCAGGACAGTGGAGACTGGGTTATTTATGGTAAACAGTAGGGATACACCGATACCGAGACTAGTATCGATATCAGTGCCGCTACCGAGTATTTGGCCGAGTACTCGCCCAAATGTTCCGATGCCTAGCCCGATACTTCCTGTATCAGGGAACCGGGCAGAGCGTCATTACACGCTGCCCGGTTTCCTGATTGGCTGGGAAGCGGCTCCATGCTCTCTCGTCACTTATGAGAGAGCATGGAGCCAACTTCCTGGCCAATCAGGAAGCCGGGCAACGTGTAATGACGCGCTGCCTGGCATCCCGATTGGTCGGGAAGCTGGCCAATCAGGAAGCCGGGCGCCGTGTAATGATGCAGCGCCCGGCTTTCTGATTGACAGGGAAGCTGGCTTCATGCTCGCTATCTCATGATGGAGCCGGCCTCCCGGCCGAACAGAAAGCAGGGCGCCGCGTCAATACACGGCGGCCAGCTTCCATGATTGGCCAGCAAGACGGCTCCGGGTGTGTAACGGAGGAAGGCCGCTCCTGGCTGGAGAGGCCCCGGGGGTGACAGGCTGAACATGCAGAGGTGAGAGGGAACAGAGATTTGCACTGATTGTATGGGACGGCTTTCTTGTTAATCGGGAAGCCGGGTGGCGAGTCTTTACACGCCACCCGGCTTCGTGAATGGGACTTCTGGTACTCTTAATTGGTATCGGCGAGTACCAGAAAAAAAATTATCGGTACTCGTACTCAGTACCAAAATACAGACATCGGTGCATCCCTAGTAAACAGTAACTCCCCAGCCCTCTCCTTGAAAATACAGAGAATATGATAGCATACATAAAATAGGTGTTATTGCAATTTGCTGCAAATGTGGAAATATACCATGTATATTTGTTGTAACAGTCTTACTTTTCATTATCACAAGGTTGCCATCAGTTGCACACCAACTACAAATCTGTGTTTTAAACTTTCTAACGAGATTACAGGATGTGAACCCATTGCACAATTTAACTGCTTCCCGGCCGGCCGTTGTAATTAAACGGCCCGGGAGTTTCTTGGATGTGAGTTAGCCTAGGCCACTCGTGCACCACGCACGAACGGGAACCTGTCAAAATTTGTAAACAGGCAACAATGCCCGTTTACATACAAGCAATCTGCTGGCTTTAGAGCCGTTGGATCACTTGTATGAGGTGCCGATCATTGTTTGGCGAACTGATGCTTGACAGAGGGATAGGTGAAAGACAGAAGGAAGTCCTTCACAGGATAAGGGAACCAATTCAGACACTCTCCTTGCAGAGGTGAGGACTACAAGGAATACCACCTTCTCTAATGCGTTTAAAAGGCAGTTTCTAAAATGCAGAGAGCAAAATTCAGATCCAACAAATTCACATATGGTTGAAAAGAGGAAGCTCCCTGTACATAGATGTGAAAAGCCAACTGTCTCAAACAAGATAGAAAGGAAAGAAACCAGAACTTAATGTTTGCTCAATCCCTGGTCAAGGCCCAGCTGCAGAAAGAAGAGGAATTGTCTAAAGAAAAAACATCTGGGGTCAAAGCCCCGAGACTCACACCAAGTACACCTTCAATGCCCAATGATAATCCTTGCGAAATGTAGAGTTCCTAGCTTCTAAAATGATAGGTATCAGACTTAGAGATGCCCCTGTACCTCAACAGCCATTAAAGCCAGCGACTGTGAATCAAGATGGCAAAGACCTTGGAACAAAAGATCCTGACAATCTGGCATGATCAACTTTTACCAGAACAGAGTCTGGAAAGTTCCTTAGGCAGTACAAAGGTCCCTTCCAGGTTATCCCTACAAAAACCAGTCCAAGTGGGTCTGGACACAGCACTTCGAAATCAAGGCTGAGGATGGACTCACTGGATAGCTGCAGTGGAAGAGACGAGCTCTAGCAGCGATGTAGATAAGAGTCTTAATTGAGGAAGAAAAATTAGGTTTGTCTTCCACACAGCACAGCTGAAAATGTTTATCCTAGGACACTAGCATAGAAATGAGGCATGCTTATAGTAGGAGGGTTTATCACGGGTTGGCCTATAGTTTTTTTGAATTGCCAGTGTCCAATCCTCCTGTAAGCGGCATTATAACCCAAAAGGTGCCCCTCACTTGATAAGGGGTGGGGGAAAAAAAACAACACACACACGTGTGTGTGCAATAAATTGGATAGATATATCTATCTATCTCTAAAGCAGGGATAGTCAAAACTATAAATTCCATCATGCCTGTCATCAGTGTCTTGCTTAATTGGATTTGTAGTTTTACCACAGCTGGAGGGCCAAAGCTTGGCTACCCTTGCTTTAAAAATCTAAAGCATATAATGACTAGTATTGATTGATCCAAGCCAGCAACAAACTTCAAGATTAGTACATCCACATAAATGACTAACGCTGATGTGCAAATGTGTTCCAGATCCCTTGTTCACAGTCACCTGTTACCCAGAGGTACACTAACATAGCAAAAGGTTTGCAAAAAACCCCCCACATAAAATAAAGACATTTCATCGTAATTAAAAATTATCTTGCATATGTATTACCTGTGGTCATATTGCGGTCAGTACCCTGGCTGGAATCTAGCAGTTTCTTCAAAAATTAACTCCTTCAGTGTCTCCTTAGGCAAGTCATCCAGCTCCATTTCAAACTTAAAGGGTGCCTCGGCTACAGGCTAAATAAAAAAAAAAAAAATGTGGTTACTTGTAAGACTATAAATTTCAATTAAAAAAAATATTTGGTGGCTGTACAAGGAGAAAAAGAACATGGTTTGCCTGCAAGTCCTAAATTATTGTGCTACGAAGGGGGTGAAAAATAAGAACATGTGCGACTTTCTGCAGGACCTCCACTTTCCTTTTGCTAAGCATATTTGACAAATGCATAAAAGGAACCTGCCTGGAAAGAAATATAGAACCTGCCGTGGCTGAGTTGTTTAGATGCAAGCTCCAGGGCAATCATCTTTATTCTTGCTTCACTACCCCACCACTGACCCATAAGATACATGTGCATATGAAGATGCATGCTCCTTAGCAATGACTCATTTAAGTGCCTGTTAACCCCAGCAATAAAGTTCTCTTATATGCTAACTTTTGGTCTGCTAAATATATTTTTCTTTACAACCAAAGCCGACATCTGCTGAGGCCTGAATGTTCAAGGGGTAAAACTTAACTAAATCTGTTACTGCCTTATGGGATTTTCAGTAAACATGTTTAAGTGCACCTTGACCAGAGAAGGGGGAACCTTGCCTTCAGGTGATAAGCTAGCATAATAAGTTTTCGGATGACTGGTTGCCATGAGCAACTGCTCAAGATTCTGATAAATTCCCCTCAGTGCATATAGGCATACAAGTACAAAATATACAAATAGTTATCAAATTTCAAAAATAAAAATACAAAGAAAATGTTCTTTAGATCAAATGCTCAAGCCAAATAAATAGGTTTGCATTCTCCACAATAACTCACCTCATCACTTGGGTCATAATACTGTTCCAGATATGGGTGAGCAAGAGCTGCTTCTACTTCAATTCGTTTGTGTGGGTTGAAGGTCAACATTTTGTCCAACAAATCAAGAGCTGAAACAAAAGAATGGTAGTTTCACTAGAACTGGACCCTCTTTGTATTACCTATTTTCCCCAACTGAACAAGCTTTAAAAATATAACTGCCAAAGAATGTTAGACTATTCAGCTCAAAGTCATACAAAATGCTAAACCGGCATATCAGAAGTTGCAGATGCCAAATACAGTTTTTGTTCTAGAGCTAATTTCATACTATAAAGTGATATGACCATTTATGCAATGGACCACTTTTTAAGCAAAGAAGCAGTGTATAATGCTTAGCTTAACCCTTTCCCTGATCACCGCCGCAAGGCATACGGTGGAACAAAACTGTTCCCAGCTGGCCAGGTCAGTATGCCTTATGGTGGTGGCATTTACAGGTCTTCTACAAGCTCATGGTCGCTTTAGCGACCGAGGAACAGTTCTACTATATGTTCATGGACTGTCCCCTTTAAACTAATAGCGGTCATCAGCGGCTCACAAGCCGCTGATGACCGCTATTAACAGAAATACCAGGCGCCCCGCCCCCCGGCATCTGGAGCCTCTCACCGCTCCAGGCAGGGGTCTGTGCCGGCATGGATCCCCGCTGCTGTCCCCCGCTTGTAGGGGCTATGGCAGCGGGCATCCAAAAAAAAATCTCCGGCGGATGGGGTTGGGCGGGAGGAGCGAGCGGTGGCTGGCAGGGAAAAGCCGCAAGTTTCAGGATGACCGAGCAGTGAGGAGCGACAGCAGCTCTGTGCGTGGTCGAGCGGGGGGATAAATATCGGTGATATTTACCGATCCTCTGTGCAGTACAAACACTGGAGTGATCGTCTAATCGTAAAAACTGGGGACACACAGTACTGTGTCCCCACTTATGAACAGGATGTGATTTACATCACTTCCTGTTCATTCATGAGTTTCTCAATGGGGAGAAGCACTCACTACAGAGGCTCCTCCCCATTCAGAAGCTGCCGATAGTAAATATTTTATCAGCAGTTTGTGAATGAACGGGAAGCCTCTGTACTGAGTGCTTCCCATTCATTATCAGCAGTTTGTGAATGAATGGGAGGAGCCTCTGTACTGAGTGCTTCCCATTCATTGAGTGCTGAGGCTGCAGAAAAAGAAATTAAGGACTTTGTGTCCTCAATTTCTTTTTCTATTTCAAAAAGGGAAATGTCAGGGGTCTGTTTTTTTTAAACTTTTTGCATATATCTACTGCTTGCCACCAGTCACAAATAAATTCCTTCAACAAAACACACCACAGTTCTCGGATTGGTCCTGTTCAGGTTTAACAATACTTTTAACAGATAAGAGCAGGTTGCAAAGGGTTTCTTCTTGTATGATCTGGCTGTCAGGTCATGATTTAGTTGCCAAGGCAACCCTTTCAATTCCTGAATAAAATCATAATGTTTAAGCAATATAGAAGGTAATTCTACAAAATTCAAAATGTAAACCATGCCATTTCTCTTGCCATTCTATCCAAAGCCGACAATTTACTATACAATACAGGATATACAATCTCTCTATAATCTCTAATTTACTAAATTTAGATTTACCAAAACTATATTATACAAGGACAAAACCTAAACAATTTCGTAACAGGTAGGCTTTTGCACTACATAAGTTATGGTAGATCCAAAGGGGGATTGCACAATCAGAATATATAGTATATAGCCAGCGTTACAGTACCAGTGCATTTCTAAAATTGAATTCTATTCTAAAGCAAAGACTCTACAAAGCACCATATGCATTAACTGTCAATGCACTACCAGCTCCAATTATCTACTATACAGATGCATTCATAATTTCTAAATATCATGTAGGAAGAACCGTTTTTGATTCTTTCATAGCTCAAACAACGGCAAAAGTGTAAATGATACACTAGGATGAACTTGGAGAAGTGCCCATCACCCTTAGCTACCATAGTGCACAGAAAGTCAGTCAATGTTAGACATTCAGAGGGCAACCTTAGATCACTGCTAAAATAAACCTCCATCTCTAAATTGAGAACAATTCTCTCATAAATTGAGTGTTCTAAAAACTGGAATCAATGAAATGAGGATGCCAATCACTTTATAAAAGGAATAAAGGAGTAAAAAACTGTGCCACTGCTGAAAGTCCAGTTCAATCCTCATTTACAAATGTAAAGGATGCAGTCAGGCTACATATACAGTAAAATAGAGCGCTTTTTTTTTTTCTAACTGCCAATTGCGGCAGTATGGGATAACTGATCCCGTGCTCTGTTACACATAGGTGAGCCGCACCACAGCTCATGGTCCGGTTCTCCAGTGGTAAGACTGGAGAACCCCTCCTTCATTTCAGTAATAAGTAACAAGGGTTCAATTGTGCTTTTAGGTTGAAAACTCCAAGGCTGTCAATCCTTATCTTACTTTACCACTTTGTGACACACTGACCCAGAGCAAACATGCAACAGTAAAAAGTGTCAGGAGACCCGATATGCACATTTGTTTCTGGGGCAGTTACTCTGAGCGTACACATTCACATCAGATGGAAATTCCTACATTTCTATCCTGAGATTCTTTAAAAAGGGAAATTATTAATTTTACCTTTAGGATCTGCATTTGGGAAAAGCCTGTTCCAGGGAACCTTATTTTTATGAGGGAGGGACAGCAAGTAGTTTCTAGCTTTCAAATTTATTATACAGTTTAAATCCTCTTGAGTAGGAGATCCAAGAATGCCTGTGAATATAAAAACAAAAAACACTTAGTACAAATCATGCATTTTTTAACCCCGTAATTAAAAACGTCTTAAACACCTTTAGTGGTTGCCCTTACCAAGGATATGATTAAGTTGATCAAGATAATGCTTTCCTGGAAATATGGGCCTATTGGAAAGCATCTCTGCAAGAATGCAGCCAACAGACCAGATATCAATTGATTTGGTATATCCCTAAGAGAAAATGAAATACTGTTAGGAAAATAAAATATTTTATATAGTATCAAACAAGAAAAATTTCCTCAAACGGAACATGTCTTCCAAAGGGTAAAATGGTTTATAAAAGCAGAAATGAATTGGGCATGGAGAACAAAATGTCTAAAAAGTCAGGAATCTACTTCAAATTAGTTAAGTGCTCGATTTGGTCTAGGCTACAAAATAAAAGATACCAGCCCAAACCTCAGTCCAGTTCAGCTCTCTCCGCCTCATGTATAATATAAGCCAATGGACTGGATGACCTCAGCGGGACTTAGATCACCGAAGCCCAGGGGAAGAGGCTGCAGTGATCCTAGACCTAAAATGAACACTTAACCCTTGCAGTGCAGGGAGTAATCGTCAGGTTTCTCTTGCTGCCCAACTCCATTGGGGGATTTCTCCTCACTTAATCCCTGTGTGACCAGGACAAGTGAAGACAGAAGACAGATTGCCAGAACTGGAACCAATAGACAGCCATTCAAGCTTTACAGGAGGTTCATAAAAATGAAAGTGAATATGCCCAAAAAGGACACAGGCAGCAAAAGAAAACAAATGGAAGTTCTATCCCTTCCCCACTGTATCCAACATGAATGGCTTTTTTTCCTGGAGAAAGGCTTATCTAGATGCACACAAAAAAAACAAAAACCTTTCCTTAAAGTATATGAAAATATGGCTTAAATTATACCAGAGCTAAAAAAGTGAAGGTGTGCTCTCTTATAGGGAACACTTAAATGGCAATTGTTGCCAAGCAGTAACCTAAAAGATGTACCATGTTTTATCCACTTTCACCTGAAAATAGCTGTGCACCCCTGTGCCTTCAATAGCTGTACATTTGCAGTATGAGATCTTCTTAGACACTCTGGCTGCTACCGGTATTAACATAGGATTTGATGATGCCACTACTTTGCCCCTGTACAGAGAATGTTGTACCCGAGAACCTGCAGTGCAAGACTCTTCCCGCTTCATTCATACTATGAATCTGATCTCTGCCCCGCCTTGAAAATTCCCAACAGGTTGTCGGGGAAAGTGCCAACATGAAGAGGCGAAGCTCTGCCTATACCAAGATGGCTGCTTTCTCATAGGGACAGTGCAGAACAAGGCATGCTAATCCAGTAATAAGAAAGATGAATTGCAGGAACCTACAGGCAATGCTGGTCACTAGTCCCTTGCCTTCTGCTCACCTTTTCCAGGCAGATCAGACCTTCTTTAAAAGCTGTACAAGCACCAAAAAAGCATTTCACAATATATATCAAATATAGGTGGTATCTACCTTGGAATTTAACATGATCTCTGGTGCCCGGTACCAGCGAGTTGCAACATACTCTGTCAGGAAACCAGTGTGATCATGGTCTGGGTCTGCAACACGTGCCAATCCAAAATCACAGATCTGTATGGGGAAAATTAAAATTAAAAAAACCAACACTAGAGCATATGAAAATACTATAAGTAAAGCTCATATTTACTCATTTAAAAGGGTTTACTACTTAGATCAAAAGAATATTCCCTTTACTTATCTAAGTAAAGTTAAGTCAACACATCACACATAGAGGGAGGGGAAAGAGTAGGAGTTACACTATAACACAATGATGCTAGGAATAATAGATTTTGTAGCACAGAAATGTACACAAAGATTTAATACACGAATAAGGTAGGGAACACAACGACAACACAAGTGAAGGTGCCCATACACTGTACGATTCTCGTACGAGAATCGTGGGAAATCCCGCGATCGGACGAGAATCGTACAGTGTATGGAAGGCGTGCGACCGTTTCTACTGTACGGTCGCACGTCTTCCATCGAACAAGCAGGCTGGAAAACCTACCGAGAATCGTACGATTCTCGGCGAGTTAGTGGCCTGCTTGTTCGACAACTGACGAACGGGCCGGTGTGCGCATGCGCACACTGCCCGTTTGCCGTCCTTGCAAGCCCGCCCCTCAAGGTGATCGCAAGTACGATCTGCCTGTCCAAGATGGGCAGATCGTACATTTTTTTAAGTACTTTACATCCCTTGCAAGACAAAAGTCTTGCGAGGGTTGTAAAGGGTATGGGCACCTTGATAGAGAGTAGAGACACATATGGAAACGATGGAGAGTAATGTGGGAATAAAATGGAAGAGAAAAATCACAAACAATAAAGCAGACCCGCTCTCTTCCTTTTAGCGATTTAGTGTCAAAAAGCAGGGCGATATTTACAGCACTGGCGGTCACTGTTTGACAACTGAACACACTGGGATTAAGAAATCCAGATGTCTACAGGCTTTTTGCTACATGGTTTCAGAAGAGAAACATTAAGCAAAACGTTTCTAATTTCACTAAGGTTATTATTGGCTGTTCCGAAGTGCTGTTCCCTTTCTGACAGTGACATTGTATGCCACTACTGTATACGCTTTGAGAAAAAAAAGTTTTAGCTTTTAGTTTAGGCTGAAAATTACAGAAAACGTTTCTGAAACCCTAGGGATGCGAGGCGTTTCCAAATAAAGGACAAATACATTAATTTATTTTAATGCATTTTTTTTAGCCGTGCTAATTCTCTAAAAAATAATCAAAAGTGCGGAAAAAGTATTTACATTTTTGAAATATATTTTATTAGTTCTAAGTGAGGCGTTAAGCATAAGTGATAAATATATAGCCCTATCTGTCCTCTAAAAAAACAATATATAATATGTAAGAAAGCATATTACTGCCGTGGAAGAATCACACAGCAAAAAATTAAAAAAAAAGCGTGCCAGTCATTCGCGAACAGAAATTGAAAAAAAGCTCAGTCATGAAGGGGTTAGGGTTATGTGTACACAGACTATCATTTAGATATTTCTTAAAAGGAGAATTATGGGGTTAAGGCTTTTCCCCATAGTTCTCCTTAGGGTAACGGGAGGACACAAACTAGCGTCCTCCCGTCACCCTAGGCTCAGTATACCGCGAGCTGTACTGAGACACCACAGTATACAGCGAGCTACTGCTCGCGGTATACTGAGACGCCGCAGCTGAAGCGGATCCCGACAATTATGTCTGGATCCCCCCCGCTGCGTGACAGCTGGCTCTGCCTATCTAGAGGCAGAGCCAGCTGTACCCGCCCCCTCCCCCGTCCGCTC